AAAAGCATTTCCCGAGTGGCAACATTTTACATAAGCTCTTTAACAAGAACAATGTCAAAGTCAGCTATAGCTGCTCAAGAAACATGGGCAGTATAATCAAAGCCCACAACAAACAGCTTCTGGTTTCTAAGCAACAACAGCCAAAAACTCTCTGCAATTGCAGGAAAAAAGATGAATGTCCACTCTCTGGAAATTGCCTCACCTCATCCATCATCTACAAAGCCACTGTCTACTCAGATGATGACAAAAAATGCTACATCGGGCTCACTGACACACCGTTCAAAACCCGATACACAAACCACAAATACACTTTTAATACCACCAAACAGAGAAACAGCACCGTACTCTCCAAATACGTATGGAAATTAAAAGATAGCAACACACCCTACAACATTAAATGGTCTATCATCGACAGAGCATCGGCTTACTCCCCAAAAACAAAACGCTGCAACCTGTGCATAACCGAGAAACTTCACATAATATATTCAGACAAACAGTCAACACTAAACAAAAGAACCGAGCTATTGTCTAAATGCAGGCACAGCAACAAATATCTACTTAAAAACAATTAACTCATTTGCATTTTCACCTGTCTTAGCATTCATATACTCGCACAACCCTTGTATTCTCTCACTCCTGAAGATTGCATTAGCATGAAACAGTCTGTAGAGTGATAATACCCACACATCTAGATGTGTATAAGAGACAGACATTNNNNCTGTCTCTTATACACATCTAGATGTGTATAAAAGCAAAGGACATACCTCGTGCTCAAACACTGACGTACAAACCACGTCAACGATCGACCAGAGTGCCACTGGTCACAACCTATCACCCTAGGTTACCACCACTAAGGGCTATAATTCAGAAACATATGTCCATCCTACAGACCGAAGAACGTCTTAGGTCTGTTTTTCCGGATACACCGTTCATAGCCTATCGCAGACCACCTAACCTTCGTGATATATTAGTACGATCAAAATTCAAGAGGAAAATTAACTCTTGCGACAACCTTAATTTGGGTAGTCATCTTTGTGGTCCATCATGCAAAACATGCTCCTTGCTTGATTCTACACAATCATTCAAGAGCAACCAAACTAACCACATATTTCGGATAAGGCAATCAATTAATTGCCTCACCAAAAATGTCATTTATCTCATATATTGTAATATTTGTGGCAAACAATATGTCGGAGAAACAAAAAACACTCTCCGTATGAGAATGACACAACACAGATCAGCTATCAGAACATCTCAGCTTGATCAACCAGTAGCCGAACATTTCAATTTAGCTGGTCATTCAATTTCAAATTTCAGAGTGAATGCAATTGACCATAATGCCAGTTGGAGCGACAAAAATCGCAAAGATAAAGAGAATCACTAGGAACTAGTGAAAGGTGCATGACAAATTCTTTTCACGCATGAGAGAATTTGTTGTGGCATTCCTTTTACCGTGCAGTACAAGTTCTGTCTCTTATACACATCTAGATGTTCAGTCATTCAATTTATTGTACTTGTGTACCACCATTGTATTGTACTTTTTTTTTTTTTTGACAAATAAAGAATAGGGATAAAAAGAATTGCCAAGTTAATTTTGCTCATGATAATTTGTTAAATTAAAAGAAATATAAATAGCAGAACGAGGTTTTTACCATTGAACCCAGCACGCTACCGCTGCGCTCATTCATAAAGTTCATAAACTGGCATAAGGTTTGTTGATTTGTTTTGGTCTGAGAAATCGTACAATGTCGTAAGTTTTAATAATAATAATATACTTAGCTGAGCGAGGTTTTTAGATCCTCGGGGACCTCTAGGTTACGGGCCCAGCACGCTTCCGCTGCTTCACTCTTCTTCTTACACAAATCCTTCCTAAACTTGCATTAGTTTCAGAAATCAAACAATTTTGAAAATTTTGATTAAAAAAAATATGCTTAGCAGAGCGAGGTTTCGATCCTCGAACCTCTGGGTTATGGGCCCAGCACGCTTCCGCTGCGCCACTATGCTTCTTACATTGACCATTCCTAAACTTGCATTAGTTTGAGAAAGCATTAATTTGAGAAATCAAACAATTTCAAAATTTTTCAATAATAGAAAACATACTTTAGCAGAGCAAGGTTTCGATCATCTGTCGTGATCCTGTAGGTTATAGGCCAAGCCGCTTCCGCTGCGACACTCTGCTCTTTATATTAACGCTTCGTAAACTTTAATTAGTTTTAGATATTAAACAATTTTGAAAATTGTAAATAACAAAAGTATTTAGCAGAGCGAGGTTTCGATCCTCGGACCTCTGGGTTATGGGCCCAGCACGCTTCCGCTGCGCCACTCTGCTTGTGGTACTTAAACGTTACAATAAATGATTCTCATTGACTTCGATGATGTCTTAACAATTACGAAAATTTTGAATAAATAGAAAACTACATAGAGAGCGAGGTTTTGATCCTCAGATCTCTGGGTTACGGGACCAGCGCGCTTCCGTGGTAAAAATAACGCTTCATTAAACGCTTCTTATTGACTTGGATGATGATGTTGTAGTGACGACCCCCTGGAGGTCACGCTGCAATGACCCCAGATTCCCTGGGTTAGCTCACCTGTGCAAACCGGCGTATCTACGGGCATGCGCACTGAACGGCCGACTCGGGTAATCCCTTGGAGAAAGGACGGCACTTCAAGTCGAGAGCTCATGCTATACACACACAGACGAGTAATACTATTGTATTCAGCCCTACGCGGGAAATTAATACCGATACCGGTAAGTACCTTTTAGGCTTTTTACAATATTGGCGCTGCGAGCGAAAGGCTTGTCATATGTTGTATTTTGTGCAACATTGTCGATGCGAGCGAATAGAGTAGCTTGCAGTGGTTTATTTAGTATTTAGTTAGGTTTTTTTTTGTGAGGGGAAGTAGGTAGATTCGGTAATTATTGTCGACTGCCGAGTACCTTTACAGCTAAACTTAGATTAGGTGTTTAGATTAGGAAATTAATTAGGGTTGTTGTGACGGGAAGTGTACAGGACCGGATTTATTTTCGGACTGTCGAGTACCTCACAATTAGTTTCCGAATATATTAGACTAGGATTATTATTTAGGTGTTTACTGTTACCCGTTGTTTTAGCCCAGTAACGTCGATCATCGTATCGTCGGTACGTGTGCTGGGTCGGAAAAGGTGACGGATTTATTAGCGCGAATAGGGTATGGGAGGAAGTTCACGTGACATACGTTTTGCGTGAATTAAGTACTCTCACAGCTAATATTTTCGTGTTAATAGATTAGGATTAATACTAGTTAGGAAATAGGTAGGAATTTTAAAACGTTTTTAGTGAAAGGTGCATGACAAATTCTTTACACGCATGAGAGAATTTGTTGTGGCATTCCTTTTATCGTGCAGTACAAGTTCGTTTGCATATCATTCTAATTTGGTTTTATCCACAGGTGGTCATTTTCATTGTTACTTGTGCGATATTTGTACGCAATTTAAATAGGTGCTTTGATTAATGTGATTATAACCTGTTTTTATGAATTGTACATAATGCCATCACGAATCAGCGATGGTAAAGGAGTATTTAATCTAAAGTAGTTTTGGAGAATATCTCCAGCACCCACCCAACCAGATTCATCAAGAAGATGAGAGTTGGAACTAAATTTTGAAACACCCCACCAGTGTTTTAGTAGACGGCACTGCACAAGAGTTATGTAATCGAAGTCAGCACTGGTCATTTGTGCAACAAAAGCTTTCAGGCCATAAGTTGCGGACGGCAAAACTAC